TAAGGCTGGGGCATTTTTCGGGCAGCAGCGGGAGCTAAGGGCGGCAAGTAAGGGAACGTGGCCATCATGTCCTATCGGATTTCTCACAAAAGTACTTAGGTGCAAGTACTGTGCGCTGTACAGTGTATAGTTACCGATTTTCGAGGTTTGCAAGTCGTATAGTAAATTTCTAGATATTTGTTTCGTCTCTGTATTTTATACAAACCTATGAATATCGAACAAGAACACTTCCGATAAATGAACGTAACGGTACAATAGTGTTTTTTTGTTATAATAAATTGAACTTTCCTTACTTGTGGTCAAACGCGATGGCTCCATTTAAAAGAATCGTCTTTTTTTTTCACAATAATAGGAAGAACATGTCAGTTTTAGAGTGGTAAAAATACGCAAGCGTCAGGATGTATTACATCTTCTTATTTGTTCTATCCGATAAGATATTTTTACTAGAAGCTGCCAACGGCACTTGTAAAATAACTGCAAGTCTTAAATGGGGCAGGAATCGCGATATGTGCTTTATTCTCTGATTCGTCTAGAATAGACAATTTTTCTAAATTTATTTTGTGAATAAATTAAAATTATTGAAGCTTCCCTCATCTCACATCATTTGCTCAGTTCCAAACATAAAGAAAATACAAAGCATTCATGCGATATTTGGTGCTCTTTGGCTATCACATTTTACTTGGCGATTCTCATTAGCTGGAATTTTCCATAAAGACCTCAGCTTTAACTTCAACGCCATCAAAGCCAGACTGCTCTATTTGACTGTTAACGAGACGTAATCTGTATCATTTGCTTCTGAGATTAATCAAGCCGAGATAAGCAGACCGTTTTCAGTAAATACATTAGTAACGAAACATACTTACCATCAATGCAAATCAGTTGCTGAACAACCCCTGATTTGTCTTGAGATGTCTCCATTATACGTAAGAGCAGATTTTCAGTCTGCAATCACATTCTGAGTATTGTGTATAGTGAAGAAGATGTCATGTAGCTGTGCTTCTTTCTGAAAGGCGTATCCGCAATAAAGGCAAACGTTTCAATAATCGTACGGAAATCACGGATGGCTATTATATCAAGGACTTACTTGTATGTCCATTTTATTTTTGATATTGAGCAACGATTGACTCCTATGATCGAGCAAACAAATCTTGCATAAGAGCATCGACTTCCTTATTGTCGCCATTAAAAAAGCGATTAAAGATATGTACAAAAACGTTTCAACGCGACCTTTTAAGCGGTTTATGAAGTAGCGTATCGAAACAAATGGCGGTTACAGTGATAAACCAACGCATCCATCACAGATGCTTTCTAGACCAAACGCGAAGTTTTTTTTAGATATATCGATTTTCATAGATAGCCTATAAACGAATGACATGGAGCTTTAATGTATTCCTGGCGTTTTGTATGTGGCTTGGGCCATGCGTACGTGCTACTTCTTCTAGCAGTATGTACGAAAAACCCAGCGATAAAGGTAGGTGCGTGTCTGGAGTTAATTGGCACTGGAGCTGCATATGGGGCAAGTGTTCCGGATCCAGTCGGCGCCAGCACCGATTCGCTGTTACCGTGCACTTCCTTGTCCTATCTTGGTTAACCCCCCTTTCCAGAGTTTTCGTTGTCAGATGAAACGCGCTACGTGACTATGGGCTCGCTGCCCTCTCCAACATAGGCTCCCCGGGAGAACGGAGTGAAACTTCTGTTAGTCGAGGGTTGGAGGTCTCAGATATCGGCGAGCTTTAGGAAGCCGTAGTGGAGATGTTGGGGAAACAGCTGTGCGAGCTAAGAGCCAGTATTCTGTGCCTAAGCAGAGTTGCAGGGGTCAACCGAAACGCAAGCGCCATACTGAAGGTGCACGCAAACGTGCATGACACACACGAATAAACTCACTGCCTTGCGTGGGTAAGCTCTTAGAGGCGAATAGAAGAAGGTTGGGCGAACGTTAACCTAACTGAGGCATCGATTCTACTATTTGTTGCGATGGTAAAAGAAAGCTACCTTGCAGTTTGTCAGGTAGTAGAAAATACAATAAAGAAGATTTTTAGGTGTTTATTTAACCAAGAGGCAATATTTCGTCATCAAATGTGTGGTAAGTGATCATTTGTTTTAAATTGTGAAACGTGGAAATTTTCATTGATAATCTCAGGAAATAATTAAAATGGTATTACTGAGAAAGCAGTTAAAACGAGTTCAATAGTGCATGTTCGCTAAGATCTGTCACGAAAGTGCAGTTCCCTTAGGGTCTCCATCGGATAGAATAGTTTCGACAATCACTCAGCGCTACCCGTACCACTGCTAAGTACTTAGGCAAAGTACGCAGAGAACGGCGTGATGCGCGTGAAGTAACAATATCTTAAATGTGAAATAATTCTATAATGAAGCTAGCTTTTGATTAGGAAAGAAGGGCATCATTGCCCCGAGGCGTAACCACAACGTAGAAGCTAACGCCACGGAAAATGGCACGGGGTGGTTTTGATCTTCTGTGATTTTGATAAATCTCCAATCCAGCGAAAACCAAATAGTCACGCCAATGAAATGGGGCATTTGCTTGTGCATTCCGTTTCCCAGCCTTGCTTTTCAACGACATCCAATAATCTTAAAATAAAGCTTATATATATATATATATATATAAATATTTAATTAAACACGAATAATTACATTACATGTACATAACATTGCCGTGTCTACGTTTTTTTTTGTATATAATTAACTTTTTTACTACATGTAATGTATATAATACTGATAAATTGATTTATTTATGTACGTAACCTTTATATTAAGAGAAATCATTTTCGCTTAAGATATATGTTCTAATAAAATCGGATTGTTATATTAGTTTACTTGGAAAAAAAAATCTGTATTCATGGGCGTTCCTTAAGCTATGCGTGGTACATTTGTGTATTGATTAGGGTCATTTGCTGAATTCGATCAAGCATGAGTTTGGACTAAACATAATCTGTTTTTGTATAAATTACCTATTATATTTAATAATTAACTACAATCAGAAATGTGCCGGACATATTTGAGCTGAGTATGCATAAACAATAATCTTCTGTACAACACATTTTTGTTAGTCGGTAATCAGCTGATGAAGACAACTTGCCAGTTCAAAATGAGAAACTATTCGCTCCCATAAAGAAGTATCAACCATAACAGTGTAATTACATTTCTGGCTGAGTTAAAAAGTAATTTTTTCTTCAAAATCTAAACAAGGTGCCACACATTGCCACTATAATAATTGACACTCGTTCTTCGCATTAATCGACACCGGAACGAACGAATCACTTTAATCTTTGGAGGAGCCAAACCGATTTACGCGTAGTAATGCAATGGAAACGAGTCTGAGGATCTAAATTGTTGGAAAATTTGTGGAAAGAGAACATGGTATTTTGGCGTTCCCGACATACTCGTATATAAATACGGTCCTCCAGTGGTACTGCATCTTTCTTCCCCTCAACCACTATATGCTGTATACATATATTGTAACTGGTCGCTTTAAATCAAATTGTTAGATGGTGCTGTTGATTTTACAGAAACACACCTACTCTGGACAGGTGGCACCTGTGTGCTTAACGCTCTGTGCCTGCCCCATTGGTCACTGAGATCCCAGACAGCGTATGTCCTGCCACAGAAGACTCTTCCACATGAGAAATACCCAGCCTGCACAGCACTGGCCAGTACTTATGAGCACATCATCCCCACAACTACAAGCCATAGTCCCCTCATGATTTCGCCATCATTACGTGGTCGACATACACCTCTTATTACGCTTTTTACAGAGACAACAAATCTAGACCAGACGAAACAGAGTAAGTCGTTTCGGCAGACAGTCGACGATAAACGTTTCTGAAACGCTTTGTGAAGAAATCGCTGGTTGTCGTCGTCATCATCATCATGATACACGTATCCTCATCGTGAGAAATAGCCCAACGACCCATAACAGATATAGATGACATAATTATTATATGCCTATGCATACATTATTGTGGAGTATTGCAACACACTGCTTGACAATCACAGTAATGTAACGCCCGTTCATTAACCAGTCATAGTGTGACACTTATAGAAAATGGTATAGTGTAGTTATATACAAACGGCCTGAACATGAAAGAAGCCATTCCATGAGAGACGATAAAATGCCTCTCGTAAAAAACTTAGATTACAAATACCGTGTCGAATCAATCTGAGCTGAAGTTCAAACTGCCTATCCTAGCATCGGACACATTACTTAAAGAACACCAGATGTCCATAGAACATTTTCAAGATAACTTGTAACACCGCTAATAAACGTGTACGTATGTTCCGTTTTATTTAAATCTACCTAGTAAGATCCGTGTTCAAACCTGTCCCAGATCAAGACGTAATTTTTTTTTGTATTTTCGCGCTACTACTAGCGCTACTACTAGTAGCGCCTCCCTTACAAACCTTGGTTCAGGGAGGAGTTTATCCAGTTTTCGTCGCTGGCTGTGTCCCGGTTCGGCCATCTACTACGGCCGATACAAGCGGCAAAGTATAGCTAGCTGTGTAGGAACAGGTTTTTTTTTTTGCAGGAGTGGCGCAAAACATGGGTCCTCTCCATGGCCATCACATACACTACAATGAGCGAAGCCATCATTGACCCACGACCTCTTGATGTCTCCATGGGGTGGCTAAGATCGACAACACTAACAGCAACAGTAGCAGCAGAGGATCGTGTACTGATTGTCGACGCAATCACCCTAAAATCACGATGCTTGACTATTCCATATTATATATATATAGATATATCCATACGTAGGCAGCAAAACAGGTTCACCTATCATTGCAAAACAATATCATTATCCTTTAATATAAAAATGATGACAAATAGGTTAGATGTGCAGTCGATAAATGGTATAATACTAACTAGAATACATACAAGGTCTCATCAATATTTGACTTCTCGTTCACATTCAATGGAATAGAATACACACAATGAGTATTTTCCCAACGACGACTAGTAATACATCGATTTTGTTTATTGAAAATTCATTATATTAAGCTATTTCTTGGCTAGATTTGATTATTCAGCATTTAAATTCATTTGTCTAGTACGTAGGTGTGTACGTGTGTGAGTATTTGTATTTATGTATATTCATCTGTACATGACTCTGAGACAATAAGCAGCGATCGAGCGACCGGGATGTTCTTTCTGCGAATAAAGATAGAGATTTACAACAGCGCTACAGGATCCTTTTAACCACTGTAGTATATATATATATATAAAAGGTATGGTGATGATATGATTTTATCATTGCAAACATTTGGGCATCAGTGGGAAATGGTGGTTGTGAATGAAGGCATACAAAAATGGTGCATGAATAATCCTACAGTTGCCTAGCTGTTTTTTCTAACTATGATCTTCATTAATTCTCGTTGATGAATGTTGCTATACGTTTCATCGGAGCTGTACGTTTTACCAAAGTTCTGTGCGTATATAGTGCATAGCATATTATGAGCATGGGTAAAACGCGAGAGTGACCTGTCTTTATTTGGCTGGCAAGTTCGTACGTCTTCTTGTTGCAGCTGCTGCTGTCTAAATGCAAATGTAGGTTGTCCCGGTGAGTGACGTTTATGCTCGTAGTGCATTTAGCTGCTAAAGGTACAGGTTTAGATGGACGGGGCGACTGATAATCTCACACAATCCTCAGTCTTACCATCCTCCAGAACTACCACCCCCGCCGCCATTGGGCGCCCAGCTCCCGCCTGCGGTTCTATGTGCTCCATTGCCTCCATTGAACGAGTTCGCAGGTGCGGGGTGTATTGTCGCTTCCTTTATGTCCTGGACGACGTATACCTGGATGATGTGAAAAAAAAAGGTTCCTATTTATACTTACAGACTGGCTGCTGTGATTAGTGATGCGGTTTAATTACCGTCAATAACGTACTAGTAGGCCTCTTGGATCACATATCATTACCTCATATTTGTTCGAAACCACGCGTAGACACATTTTGTTTCGTGATGAAGGCCAGCTGTCTGAACTAATGCTTAATAAAGGCAGACCCGGATGCAAAATTTAAGACACCGATTCAAGTAGTGGTATGGAAAATTGAGATGAAAGAAACATTTGCCTTATCGCTTATACCTTGCTCTGCTGCAATGAACCACCATGATTCCTTTGAGGGGCCTGTACAGCTTGCGGCCACCCAGGTCCAGCAACCATTTGCATAACCTAAGAGATAAGAATTTGATAAGTCCATTGGTAAAAACTGCTCCCAGTAGCGCATATTTCGACTTAAACCTATGCGATATCCGTTTGTTTGTCACGTGTACTTAAACATGTGTTTAAATTCCATTTACCATTAATTAACTGATGCAGTGAGGAAAGTGTAGTCGCGAACATGAAAAATACATCTAGCTATTCATTTTTACTTTCTGCTATTTTTGCCGTACAAATTGTAAATACTATGAGACGGTTATTGACGGATCAGTTGTTTGACATAATGATCCTTTGCAATCTTTTGACGTGGCAACTATCAGGCATCATGTCCTTGTCTGCTTTATGCATGAGATACTGATTTTTGTAAGGGTAATACCTTAGTTTGTTGAACACCTCTGCCATTTCCGTGGCCTTTTTGGGGCATTAGTGCGGGACTTTGCTGCCAGCCTTGGTTTCCACCTCCAAAGGTCCTTTGGGGAGCAGGTGCCCACCCGTTTGAGTTGCCATTATGAAAGGATTTAAAGGAGCCCGCAGATTGCTGAGGGGCATGCTGACCTGTATTTTGTTTCACGGCCTCGATGACGAAAATCTGAGAACAAACGTACTTTTTTTCAGCTGATCAAAACGCATAATGTTGAAAGTCTCCATCAGCTGATTGTTTCTCACTGATTTCTCATAACTTTCGATGGAAGGCTTCAAGTTCAGTTCATTCTCAGTTATAGCCTGCCTGCTTGAGGTACATGCTAACTTTGCACAACAGATAATAATAACTTAACACTAGCGAATAGATATATCTAGTTGTTTTCCTTGTTTATCGCAGTCAACTTTCGTTCCCCGGTCTCACCTGAATTTTTACTACTACTACTACAGTACTACTAAATATGTATAAAAGTCACCCAGCTGTAATGTTTCACCTTGGTCTGTTGACCCCCGGACTGTTGACCCTTAGTTGGGCCTTGCTGCCAACTTCCGCCACCAAGGTTCCTTTGAGGAGGGGGGGCAGGCTGTTCCCAGCCTCTGCCACCGTTAATATTTTGTTGAGGAGTTGCTGCCGGAGCCCATCCGCCATTCCCTTTGCTGCCAAATGTTTGCTGTTTGGGTAACTGTCGCTGAGAAACTAAGTGAAGCGTTCCTTTTTTTACAGCTTGGACGACGTACGCCTAATTGGAGTACCGACGGGTGCAAAAGCGAATATTGGTATGTATGCCGGATAAATATATACGGTGATACATGAGAAAACCAATTTAATTTACAAAAAAGAAAGAACAACGCTTTTATGCCATTGAAAGCTATAGTTTGTGTCCGTGTACATACCTTACCGCGAGAACGACTTGTTGATCCACCGGTTTTTGATAGAATCTTTCCACCTAGGTCAATTGTACGGACTCGGTGCACGGTCTTAATCACGTGAGTAGGTCCAGCAACGGCGAACGAACCTCCGGCTCCGTGGCCGCTAGCGCCCCCGCCGCCCTTCACAATAAGGACGGTACCCTCCTTGAAATTTCCACCATGGCCACCACTAAAGCCAACCCCTTGAGCACCCCCTACATTATTATTTCCAAAGCCATTCCCTTGAACATTGCCCCCATTACCATTTCCAAAACCATTCCCATGACCATTCCCTCCATTGCCTTTCCAAAGCCATTCCCTTGAACACCCTCCATTACCATTCCAAAGCCACCCCCTTGAACACCCCCATTCCATTACCATTTGCCAAAGACCACCTTGAACACCCCCTTCATTACCATTGCCAACACTTCCATTACCATTTGAAACCACCCCCCTTGAACACCCCCTC